ATCTTCCTCTACACTTTCTATTTTATGTCCTCATCTTTTTAAATAATGCGCTGAGTCCTGTTTGTGCTGCCCATATACATGTGTATGGGGCTACCCACTAGAGCATTATCAGCCTCACAAGGACCATATCCCTTATGAAAGCTAACTTGTCTTCCATTAGCATCCACCAACTGTCAGTAACTCCTCAGCTAGTGGTGTAGACTCTTGTACCCCTACTTCATCTATGCTGCAATGCTACCCAAACTGATGCTGTGCAGGTCTAGTGCGCACAATCATACCTACTGAGAATTCATGAGTGCTGTGATTTAGTCATGTCCAGAAGGGATTGGTTCAGCCCAGCCTTTCCTAACCTCTGGCTCTTAACAGTCTTCCTGTGCTCTTTCTCAAAGTTTTCTGAACCTTGGGAGGAATGCATGTGATACTGATGTCCCAATTCAAGCACTCTGCAGACACTCGTTTTCTGCACAGGTGAAACAGAGGAATATCTTCATTCTTACTTTATTGTGTTGGAAAGACCCACCCAGTGTTGATGAGAACATTTCTTGGTCAGCAGTATGCTAGACTGCATAAAATCCAGAAAATGAGTTGAACACTACTATGCATTCTTGGTTACAGATGCTAAGGGGAACAGCTCCTTCAAGCTTCTGCCTCTCTAACTTTCCCAGCATGAACTGTGAGATAGAATCAATCCTTTCTCTTTAAGTTTCTTTGCCAGAGTATTTTTGTCACAGCAACAAAAAAGAAACAAAAACAAGGGGCAATCTCCAGAATGGGAGTATATATTTGTATCTGTTCATTTGGCAAGGTCAGTACACATAATATACATAAACCTAAAAATTCGTGCTACAATGATACATTTGTAATTTCAGTTTTGCTGATTTAACTTAAAATGTTATTCTTAATAAGATTTTTCTGAGTCTGGAGAGATGCTTCAGTGTTAAGAGTGCATACTATGATTCTAGAGGAGAAAAGTTCAGATCCTAATACCCACATGGAACAGCTCACAATTTCCTGTCACTGAAGTTCCAGAAGATCCCAAAAATCCTTTAGGCATGCATGCACATGACCTACACTCACACACACACACAGACACACACACACAGAAAGCAAAACTTTTTAAGAACAAATCAGATTTTTCTACTGCAAATAGCAAACTGGACTTAATATTATTGTAAGAGGACACAAAGTTGGGTAGGTAAGGAAGAGAGGATGGATCTGAAAGAAATTAGAAGAGGGGTAAATATGATTAAAATATATTGTATGAAATTCTTAAAGAATTAATGAAATACTTTCATACTGATAATAAGAAGTTTAAGGCCTTCGTTTTTTGTTTTTTTGGGTTTTTTTTTTGGTTTTTCGAGACAGGGTTTCCCTGTGGCTTTGGAGGCTGTCCTGGAACTCGCTTGGTAGACCAGGCTGGTCTCGAACTCACAGTGATCCGCCTGCCTCTAAGTTTAAATGGAGGCTAGATGATGAAAGAAGGAAGAATGGAAATAATAGAAGAAAGATGATAGGTGATATGAAAGATTGATTGATAGAAGACAGAGGATGGATGGACAGATACATAGATAGATAGATAGATAGATAGGTAGGTAGATAGATAGATAGATAGATAGATAGACAGATAATGCAGTAGGAAATTCATTATAATGCCACTTTTATTCCTAAAATCCAGGATCTATATTATAAGTTTATGGAATGACCATTAAGTGTAAGTGTAAAGATCAAGTGATTCTTTTCATTTTGTAAGTCTTTTATTAAATTAGCGAAACAAAACCTATTTCTATGTTTATTGCACATTAGTCTTTAATTCTGAGTAACATGAGAACTTATTTATCATACAACTTGGGAGAAATTTGAAATTCTCCACTGAGTGGGTAAAACTACAAAATACTAATTTAAGTGGTTCTAAGTTATGGTAAATACAACAATAAATATCTCGCTGTTTTGCTCTAATTTTCCAAGATGGATTTCAGTACAAAAGCTTTTTCTCCATAACAGTTTATTTCAAGAAAGTAAGGCTACTTATAAAAACCATATTACTGAGGAACCAGGGAGACCAGGGGAGCAGCAGTTCTGGTGGCAGGATCAGGTACAACAGGCCCTGCTTCTGAGCCTGTGTTCCAGTGCCTGGGGATCGCCTGGGAACTGCACAGAGCTTCCAATCCTGGTGGAAGCCAAACACCCCAGACTCCAGGACTTCTCTCCCACCAACGAGACCAGGAAAACAGAGGAGACAGGGAGACCTGGGCAGCAGCTGTTCTGGCCACGGGATCAGGTACAAAGGATCCAGCAAAGGGTCCAGGGAACCAGGTGGGAGGCTAAGCACCCCAGATTCCTGTTCTTCTCCTCCACCCATGGGACCAGAACGAGGACAAGGAGTAGAAGAACTACCAGATTATTGGACTTGCTAGCACCCACCAAAAGGGAACACTGGTCCCCTAACCACCAGACCAGTAAGGGGCTCTTTTGGCACCGACTAGAAGAAGAGATGGGAAAGAGACAATACAAAAACACACTCAGCAACAGAAAAACAAATATGACACCGCCAGATTCTAGAGACTCCACACCAGCAAGTCTCCAACATTCCAATGAAAATGAAGCAGAAGAGAATGACCTTAAAACCACTTTCATGAAAATGATAGAGTCCCTAAAAGAGGATATAGGAAAATCTCTCAAAGAAATGGAAGAAGAAACGAAGCAAAAATGCAAGAAATGGAAGAAAAAGCAAACCAAAAAATGCAAGAAATGGAAGAAAGAACAAACCGAAAAATTCATAAAAGGCAACAAATGGATGAAAAGATAAACCAAAAATTGCAAGAAACAATACAAACACTGCAAGAGTTGAAAACTGATAGAGACAATAAAAAACACAATCTGAAGAAAGGCAGGAAATAGAAAAGCTGGGCAAACAGTCAGGTACTACCGATACAAGCATTACCAACAGAATAGAAGAGATGGAAGAGAGAATCTCAAATGTTGAAGATACACTAGGAGAAATAGATTCATCAACCAAAGAAAACCTTAAGTCCAACAAATCCTTAACACAAAACATCCAGGAAATATGGGACACCATGAAATGACCAAACCTAAGAATAATAGGAATAGTAGAAGGAGAAGAAAACCACCTCAAATGGGCAGAAAACATATTCAACAAAATCATAGAAGAAAACTTTCACAACCTTAAGAAAGACATGCCAATGAAGGTACAGGAAGCTTACAGAACCCCAAATAGAGTGGACCACAAAAAAATTCCCTTCGTCACATAATAATCAAGACCCCAAATATACAGAATAAAGAAAGAATATTAAGAGCAGCTAAGGAAAAAGGCCAAGTAACATATAAAGGCAAACTTATCAGAATTACACCTGACTTCTCCATGGAAACTCTGAAAGCCAGAAGGTCCTGGAGAGATATTCTACCAACACTAAGAGACCATGGATGCCAGCCCAGACTACTATACCCAGCAAAGCTCTCAATCACTATAGATGGAGAAAACAAGATTCCATGACAGAACTAGATTCAACCAATACGTATCCACTAACCCAGCACTACAGAAAGTTTTGGAAGGAAAACTCCAACCCAAGTTAACTCCAAGTTAACTACTACCAGGAAAACATCAATCTCTAGGATTCTACCAGTACCAGACTTACCTGCAACCACCAATGGGTCTCCTTGGTACTGTCTCTATCCCCATAAAATGGACACAGAATCCCCATGTTATTTTCAATGTTCTATCATAGGTCCTACAGCCCCAGCTCCATTAAATTCTTTCAGCCCAATCAAGCTCTAGGCCTCAACCATGAAATGCCCTACCTTTTTTTATTATTATTATTTTTTTATTTTCCATTTTAAATTTAGATAAGAAACAAGGTTGCTTCACAAGTCAGTTCGAGGTCCCTCTCCCTTTCCCTCCCCTCCTCCCGTGTCCTCCCCCCATCCCCCCCCGTTATCCCCTCATTCCCCCAGGGAGGGTGAGGCCCTCCATGGGGGTGTCCATAGTCTGTCATTTCATATAGGGCAGGGCCTAGACCCTTCCCCAAGAGTTCAGGGTGAGAGTGCACCTCACACTGTTCTATGGGAGTCCATAACCCTAACCCTAACCCTGAAATGCCCTACCTTTAACCATACTCAGGCACTCCTAAAGAATGATCCTCTATACCACTATTTATCCACCTCCACACTGTCCTCTAGGCTTGAGCCCAGTGAGTTTCCTTGACTTCAGAATCCATGACATTCTTAGAACACTCTAGACTTTATGATACATCCACTGTCCCTATCAGGTGTGATCTGATCCCTTCACTATGACCCCAGCAGCATTTGGTGTTCAGACTACACAGAACTTCATTCATAGTCTAACACTTGTTATCATCCAGTGACCAGGACAAGCCTAAATACCCTCAACTGGGATACTTCCAAGCTCTAAGATATAACCAGGACACCCTACCTGTGATCACCCACAGAACCCTTCTGGTATGCATCCATCAACTCACTCGAAATATACTTGTCTAGGGTCTACGATGGGTCCCATATCCCATGCTCCAACCTTGAGAATACCATACCCAAGGTCAAGGATTTCACCAACACCTGTCTTCCCTGTATACCGCACAGGTGGCCTTCATCCACTACCTCATTAGGTATCAATATTTCCCATGTCCTCCTGAAAAGCAAGGAAAATGTGTGCCTTTGGTGTTCCCACCAAACCATTCTGTAACCCAATAGATGTAGCCTTTGTCCCAAGTCCTTCTCATAGTCCTACTATGTCCACCCCCAGTGGCAAAGGAGCCAAGGCCTAGGTTTCCACCAAACCAGTCATAAGTTCCTTCTGTTTCCCTTAACCATGTCCCTCCTTACCTATTTGTGATTACTATTCTTAATTATCAACTAACTACATCTGATATTACCTAAAAATCCAAGTCACTGAGCAAACCTGTTAACTGGATCATTTGAGGTAGGAAGTCCCACCTTAAATCCAGATCATTTTATGTGGGAAGACTTACCTATGGTGTGGGGTAGAATTGGGCGTGGCTGCCTAGGTAAAAGACATGGAAGAAAGAAATTATTGCTCTTTTCTTGCTTGCCCATGATCTTGATTCAGTGGCATTTGGGCCTACACAGGGATTTTTAGTTAACTGGATCATCTGAGGTAGGAAGTCCCACCTTAAATCCAGATCAATTTAGGTGGGAAGACTTACCTATGGTGTGGGGTAGAATTGGGTGTCGCTGCCTAGGTAAAAGACATGGAAGAAAGAAATTATTGTTCTTTTCCTGCTTGCCCATGCTCTAAAGTCCCTGGCATAGAGCCTACAAAGGGATTTTAGTTAACCGGATCATTTGAGGTAGGAAGTCCCACCTTAAATGCAGATCACTTTAGGTGGGAAGACTTACCTATGTTGTGGGGCAGAGTTGGGCTTGTTTGCCTAGGTAAAAGACAAGGAAGAAAGAAATTATTGCTCTTTTCCTGCTTGCCCTTGCTCTTGCTTCACTGGAATTAGAGCCTACGTCTTTGGGATTTAGATGCCTACTGAAGACCAGCTGAAACAATCAGACCTGTAGAATGAACACCTCCTGTATTCCTGGAACTTCAATTGTAGACAGCCGTTGTTGGACTAGTCGGATTACAGCCTGTAAGCTACTCTAATATATCCCACAAATACATGCAGGCTTCATTTTGTATGTCCTAACTTAAACATTCAAGGTTTATTCCTGCAACCATATCTAGTCTTGATGCCATAGCCAGTGCCATCTACTAATATGACTCTAACTGTCTGTGCAACAGAGACCCGCAGACTTCAGCCATGTTCATATAATTTACTCATTAGTATTCTGACCAACACTGTCTACACTCAGGCCAATCTCTAGGAATCTACCACTACCAGACTTACCTGCAACCACCAATGGGTCTCCTTGGTACTGTCTCTATCCCCATAAAATGGACACAGAATCCCCATGTCATTTTCAAAGTTCTATCATGGGTCCCACAGCCCCAGCTCTATCAAATTCTGTCAACCCAATCAAGCTCTAGGCCTCAAACATGAAATGCCCTACCTGTAACCATACTCAGGCACTCCTAAAGTATGATCCTCTGTACCACTATTTATCCACCTCCACACTGTCCTCTAGGCTTGAGCCCAGTGAGTTTCCTTGACTTCAGAATCCAGGACATTCTTAGAACATTCTAGCCTTTGTGATGCATCCACTGTCATAGCCTAGTCTGACCACACCCTGACTTCTCAGCAGTTAAGCTCTTTAATTTGTCCACACCTACTTAGCTGCAATCACAGACAGACATATTTTGTCCCTTTTCCCTCAGTTTACTTTTCCCCCTGGTCTTAGCACATCCTCTATTATGTAGCCTGGTCCCTTCTCTGTAATTTCCATGAACACATTTACTACCCAGACATCCCAAGTCTTCCTCATCTGACCAGATCTTGCAGACACAAACAAACAGTTGTGTGAAACAGGGAAATCAATTCAAGATAGGAAACTAGCTAATGGTCTCTCAATCTGGATTCCCTCCTCACATAATAAACTCTAAATCTAGACACAGGGAGAAAAACACAGAGAGAGGGAACAACCAAATTAGGAACATCAAAATAGAAAAAAGGAGAAAAATAGAGCAGTGATCGAAGAAATTCATAGGAGCTTCAGGACATATGTTGAAAAAGTCTATCGCCCTAAACATGAGAATCTCAAATAAATGGATCAAAATAGGAACCAAATTGAGAAATGTGTCAGTGGTAGTGGCTTGAAAGAGAGTGTCCTTCCTAGGCTCCCGTATTTGAATGTTTGTTTCATAGTTGGTGGCCCATTTGCGAAGTTTTTGGAGATAAGGATTTGCTGGAGGAAGTATTTTACTGAGGGCAGGTTTTAACAGCTAAATTACTACTGCCAATTTTTTTCCTACCTGCTTCACTGTGCTTGTGGTCCAAGATAATAGCTCTCAGCTTCCGTCTCTTACTCTGTTACCTGTTGCCTACTGTCATTCCTCCCAGACATGATGGACTTTTATCATCAGGGACCACAAACCCAAATGAACTTTTACTTCTGTAACTTGTATTGGTACTGGTGTTTTATCACCAGTGTTCAAGGAATCCCACAGAAAAGAAACTGAAAAATGTAAGAGCCATAGGGACTCACATGAACTCATAGAAACTGAAGCAGCATGCACAGGGCCTTTTCTAGTCTGTACCAGGTCCTCTGCATTTAAAGTATGTTTTCCAAAGTAGTAATTTTATGTAATACCTGAGTGTGCAAACTTATGATTCTCTGACTCTGTGACTTCTCTTTGGATCTTTTCCTTCTATTTGTTTTGTCTAACTTTGAGGTGGTAGATTTTGTTTCATAAAACAATTTTTCCATATTTTATTTAATTAATTAGCTAGCTAGTTAGTAGCTAGTTAGTTAGTTAGTTAATTAGTCAGTTAGGAGGAAAGTAGAGGAGGCTGGGCACACAGGGAAGTAGCTGTCCCTCTGGCATCATCAGGTAAACAGGCCAGCTTCCCGGCCTGTGTTCCAGAGCCTGCAGATCGCCTGGGAACTGCACAGAGCTCCCAATCCCGGCGGGAGCATCAGGTAAACAGGCCAGCTTCCCGGCCTGTGTTCCAGAGCCTGCAGATCGCCTGGGAACTGCACAGAGCTCCCAATCCCGGCGGGAGCCAAGCACCCCAGACTCCAGATCTTCTCTCCCACCAACGATTCCAGGAAAGGAGAGGAGGCTGGGCGCACAGGGAAGTAGCTGTCCCTCTGGCATCATCAGGCAAACAGGCCAGCTTCCCGGCCTGAGTTCCAGAGCCTGCAGATCGCCTGGGAACTGCACAGAGCTCCCAATCCCGGCGGGAGCATCAGGTAAACAGGCCAGCTTCCCGGCCTGTGTTCCAGAGCCTGCAGATCGCCTGGGAACTGCACAGAGCTCCCAATCCCGGCGGGAGCCAAGCACCCCAGACTCCAGATCTTCTCTCCCACCAACGATTCCAGGAAAGGAGAGGAGGCTGGGCACACAGGGAAGTAGCTGTCCCTCTGGCATCATCAGGTAAACAGGCCAGCTTCCCGGCCTGTGTTCCAGAGCCTGCAGATCGCCTGGGAACTGCACAGAGCTCCCAATCCCGGCGGGAGCATCAGGTAAACAGGCCAGCTTCCCGGCCTGTGTTCCAGAGCCTGCAGATCGCCTGGGAACTGCACAGAGCTCCCAATCCCGGCGGGAGCCAAGCACCCCAGACTCCAGATCTTCTCTCCCACCAAAGAGACCAGGAAACTACAGGAACCAGGGAGACCAGGGGAGTAGCTGTTCCGGATCAGGTACAACAGGACCCAGCATAGGGTCCAGGGGACCAGGTAGGAGGCTAAGCGCCCCAGATTCCTGTTCTTCTTCTCTACCCACGGACCAGCATTTGGACAAGGCATAGAAGAACCACCAGATTACTGGACTTACTAGCACCCACCAAAAGGGAACTCTGGTCCCCAGACCAGGAAGGGGCTCTTTCTGCACCCACTAAAGGAAGAGATGGGAAAGAGACAATACAAAAACACAGTCAGCAACAGAAAAACAAATATGACACCGCCAGATTCTAGAGACTCCACACCAGCAAGACCCCAATATTCCAACGCGAAGGAAGCAGAAGAGAACGATCTTAAAAGCACTTTCATGAAAATGATAGAGGCCCTAAAAGAGGATATTGGAAAATCCCTCAAAGAAATGGAAGAAAAAACAAACCAAAAAATGCAAGAAATGGAAGAAAAAACAAACCAAAAAATGCAAGAATTGGAAGAAAAAACAAACCAAAAACGGCACGAAATGGAAGAAGAAATGAAGCAAAAAATGCAAGAAATGGAAGAAAAAGCAAAGCAAAAAATGCAAGAATTAGAAGAAGAAACATACCAAATAAGGCAGGAAATGGAAGAAGAAACAAAGCAAAAAATGCAAGAAATGGTAGAAAAAACAAAGCAAAAAATGAAAAAAATGGAGGAAGAAACAAACCAAAAAAGGCAGGAAATGGAAGAAGAAACAAAGCACAAAATCCAAGAAATGGAACAAAAAGCAAACCAAAAAATGCAAGAAATGGAAGAAAGAACAAACCAAAAAATTCATAAAAGGCAACAAACGGACGAACAGATAAACAGAAAATTGCAAGAAGCAATGCAAACGCTGCAAGGGTTGAAAACTGAAATAGAGACACTAAAAAAAACACAATCTGAAGAAAGGCAGAAAATAGAAAAGCTGGACAAACAGTCAGGCACTACCAATACAAGCATTACCAACAGAATAGAAGAGATGGAAGAGAGAATCTCAAGTGTTGAAGATACATTAGGAGAAATGGATTTATCAACCAAAGAAAACCTTAAATCCAACAAATCCTTAACACAAAACATCCAGGAATTATGGGACACCATGAAAAGACCAAACCTAAGAATAATAGGTATAGAAGAAGGAGAAGAAATCCACCTCAAAGGGGCAGAAGGCATATTCAACAAAATCATAGAAGAAAACTTTCCCAACCTTAAGAAAGACATGCCAATGAAGGTACAAGAAGCCTACAGAACACCAAATAGAGTGGACCACAAAAAAAATCCCTCGCCACATAATAATCAAGACCCCAAACATACAGAATAAAGAAAGAATATTAAGAGCAGCTAAGGAAAAAGGTCAAGTAACATATAAAGGCAGACCTATCAGAATTACACCTGATTTCTCCATGGAAACTCTGAAAGCCAGAAGGTCCTGGATAGATATTCTACCTACACTAAGAGACCATGGATGCCAGCCCAGACTACTATACCCGGCAAAGCTCTCAATCACTATAGACGGAGAAAACAAGATATTCCATGACAAAACTAGATTCAACCAATATGTGTCCACTAACCCAGCCCTACAGAAAATTTTGGAAGGAAAACTCCAACCCAAGGAAGCTAACTACAACCAGAAAAACATAAGCATTAGAGAATCCCTCTCTACCAACAGCCAAAAGAACAAAGGGGCGAAATTCCACCCATAATTCCACCAACAACAACCATCACAAAGCGAAGAAGGATGAGTAGTCAATGGTCATTAATATCCCTCAATATTAACGGCCTTAACTCACCCATAAAAAGACACAGACTAGCAGAATGGATTCGAAGACAGAACCCTTCCTTCTGCTGCATACAAGAAACACACCTCACCCTCAAAGACAGACATTACTTGAGAGTTAAAGGTTGGGAAAAAATTTTTCAATCAAATGGACCCAAGAAACAAGCAGGGGTAGCAATCCTAATATCTAACAAACTAGACTTTAAAATAAAATCAATCAAAAGAGATGAAGGAGGTCATTACATACTCATCACAGGTGAAACCCACCAAGACGAAGTGTCTATCCTGAACATCTATGCCCCCAATACAAAGGCATCTACATTCGTTAAAGAAACATTATTAGAACTTAAATCTCATCTAAAGCCCCACACAGTTATAGTGGGAGATTTCAACACACCACTCTCACCACTAGACAAGAATACCAGACAGGAACTCAACAAAGAAGCAAAGGGTCTAATAGAAGTAATGACCCAACTGGGATTAACAGATATCTATAGAACATTTCATCCACATAAAAAAGAATATACCTTCTTCTCACCACCACATGGAACCTTCTCAAAAATCGACCACATACTTGGCAACATATCAAACCTCAGCAGCTACAAAAAAATTGGAATAACTCCATGCATCTTATCAGACCACCATGCCTTAAAATTAGAATTCAACAACAACACAAATTGCAGAAAACCTACAAACTCATGGAAATTGAATAATGCTCAACTGCACCATCCCTGGGTCAAAGAGGAAATAAAAAAAGAAATTAAAGACTTCCTCGAATTCAATGAGAATGAAGACACAACATACCCAAACCTATGGGACACTTTGAAAGCAGTGCTACGGGGAAGTTCATAGCACTAAGTGCTCACATGAAGAAACAGGAAAACAGTTATACCAGAGAATTAACATCACAGCTAAAAGCTCTAGAACACAAAGAAGCAAACTCCCCCAGGAGGAGTAGACGCCAGGAAATAATCAAATTGAGGGCTGAAATCAACAAAGTAGAAACCAGGAAAACAATACAAAGAATCAATGCAACGAAGAGTTGGTTCTTTGAGAAAATCAACAAGATAGACAAACCTTTGTCCAAACTTACC